CTTGGTGCTGTGGTGAGCTTCTAAAGTTCATTAAATCTTGACAGACCAAAGGCAATTAAAAACCAGCCCATGTCTATGGCTAAGTAAACAAAAAGCATGGGAAGAACTGGATTAGAAGCCTCCAATGACTGATGTGCAGCATCTCTTCTGAGTAAGTGCCAAAACATTCATTTATAAATGCATTAAGCAAAATGTGCACTTACAGAATCATAGAATGATTGAATGGTTTGGGTTGGAAAGGGCCTTAAGATCATCTAGTTCAAACCCCCTACCATGGGCAGAGATGCCTTATGCTAGACCATGTCACCCAAGGTTCTGTCTAGCCTGGCCTTGAGCACTGCCAGGGATGGAGCATTTACCACTTCTCCGGGCATCCTGTGCCAGCGCCTCAGCACCCTCACAGGGTAGAGCTTCTTCTTTATATCTAACCCAAACTTTTCCTGTTTCAGTCTGAACCCATCACCCCTTGTCCTGTCACTCCAGTCCCTGATGAAGAGCCCCTCTGCAGCATCCTCATCCAGCCCACTTCAGATGTTGGAAGGCTGCCATGAGGTCACCACTCAGCTTTCTCTTCTCCAGGCATGGTGTCTAACTTCTAATACTTGGTCATGATGAAAATTGACCTCTTATTTCTACTCCGTGCCATCTATTTCTACTCCATAGTTGTCTTTTAATCATGACTTGAGCACTTGATGTGCTTTGCCTCACATCAAGTTCTTATCTTCCTGAAAGCCTTCTCAGAGATAGTTTGAGGAGTTTTATATTTAAAAGAATTCAGAAGCTACATTTAAAAGGGTATTTTTTTGACACTAAATTGCATCTGAGCTTTATGAGAAATAATAGGAAAATTTCACCCTCATTCTGCAGTGTTTAAGTTGACACCTAATGTTGCCTGGTGGTGGATAAGTAGAAGACAAGTAATGCTGGAATTTGATTTGATCCTTTCTTCATCCCATATTGGGGTTGGCTGACTTCACATATGGACATTGGCTCTTCAGCTTGGCATCCTCCGTGACTTTTCTGAAGCATGCAGCTGGATGACAGCTGGACTTCAAGTGCCAAAATACATCCTTAAAATAGCATTCAGATAATGCTTTGTGTCAATAACCAGTCTCACACTGAACATGTCGGATATGCTCATTAAAATGATCCTGATACTTAATATTGAAGGCATTATATTTAAACTAGAGCACTTAAATCACATAAAACCATACTAAAAGGCCTATGGGCCTTCACATTTCTCGGCATAAACAACTATCAAGGCAACAAGAAGTTGCCCTTCTTTCCGAGTTCCTCCATAGCAGCTCCCCAGGATGCTGTAAAACATCTGGTACACACCTTTCCTGCAACAAGGAAATGGCATGAATTGTATCGTGAACAATTGTGTCACGAGCTCAGCCCAGAGCAGCGGCTCCTCTGTTCCTCTGTGCAAAACCAGCTTGACGTGAGGTGTTGCCAAAAAAGTTGCCAAGGCAGTCCTGCCGAGTGAGCCCTGCTCGCTGCGGTGGGCAGGATTTATTGGCCATTTACCAGCTGTGTGTAGTGCACTCAGAGGATGAATAAACAGTAATGAATTGGAGGAGCTTATGCTTTATTTATTTATTTTTGATAGTGGAATTGCTAAGTGGGTTTGAGTTATCTGCACTGCTGCTGGCCCTCGCGTGCTGCTGGTACCTCCCATGTGCTCCATCCAGCTGCATCTCACTGGGGAAACCCGTGCTAGGAGCCGAGAGAGGCTTTGCCAGCTTCAACAGAGGAGGAAGGGATAGAGCCTTGATCTTTTGAGAGCAGGCAGAGCTGGCAGATTGTTGTTGTTGCTGAGCTGCTTATTTTACTGCTGCCTTGTGCTAGTGACACAATGTTCCACGGTTCGGAAATGTCAGCTTCATGGATGAGCCATCCAATGAGAGCATCAGTTCTTGCAACAGGATGAGATCCTGCCTGGAGCAAGTAACTGCCTGCACACAAATCTCTCCTGGAGGCAGTCAGTTGAAGAGGTAGAGGAAGGAAGCACCATGCTGGTTTTTCTCTCTGTTAACTCTTTATTTCCATCTTCTACAATTCTCTGCAGGTGGTGTTACTGATATACATGTAAATCCTTGTCTGTCTTGGCTTTCGGAGCCAGGTGCACACATGCCAACTGCAACTGCAAAAGCAGATGGTGCAGGTTGCTGAGGTCCCCTGGTACTGTTTGGGAGAGGAGATATTATTCTGAATATCCTGGTTGATGGTCCTGTGTGGGGTGAATTTTAGCTGTGTTTCCCTTTTCCTTTGCTTGAGGAAGCTGTGTATTTTGTATAAACGTCTAGATCCAAGGTGACTTGTGTCTTCAGAGCCGTACACAAGCAGAATTCCCACCTTTCCCTAGCAGTTGAAGTTTAATATGCAGAAATGCTTGATGCTTGGGTAGATATCAAGCATTTGTTGAAGATTTTGACAAAGAGCATGTGGTTAAAGCTGGTTGAAATCTAGAAGTGTTTCTCTATTGGAAATTCCATTTCAATATTTGTGTTCAATAAAATGGATTATTATTTAGGGGCAGCCTCTGAGGAAATAACAAAATACACTTTCTTTGGCTTGTTTAAGTTTTCTCTACAGTACAAACCTAGGAGCAAGGGCAAAAGAAATAAAGCATTAATGTAAGAAACCACTGGAGCCAACAATTCACACATAAAGTTGGAATGGAACCTGGACCATTCACCCTTTTCGCTGCTGCAGCTCATAGTGGCTGCAGTCAACCAGTGCTATCAAGGAGGTTCTTTCCAGGCATGTATGCAGCTTCTGGCTGGCTGTGAACTCAGGTGCCCTGGCTTGCAAATTGCGTTACACATACTTTGTGACGATTTGGAAACTAAGAGTGTCTGCAAAATACAAGCATTGCAAGCTAATCTTAAGATATTTTTGTTTCCATCTTCTTTTTTTCCCCCTACTTTTCCCTACCTGATCACTAAGCACAAAATGTGATGTACTAGTGATAGGAACTAGGATGCTAAACGAACTGGAAGTGTGCATATAGGACTTGAAGTCAAACGTTGTAGGGAAAATACACAAATGGAAGGATAATGTTTATGGCTGGAAGACAGGTACTGGAAAGCATGTGCTGTTTAGATCCCGTAGAAGTAAACGTTAAATTGGTCAAATAACATCGTATTTCAGTGAATGAAAAGATACCAGAGCCAAGACTCTCTGAACAAAATATCTATTTAGATCAAAATCAATTTCAAGAAGAATGGCAAACAATTTAAGTAAAATAGAACTGGAAGGCTTCTACAGCACCTTGCAAGCTTATTTTAGTAATGACCACATCTCTGCAGCCAGAATTGGGCCATTGTAATAGATCTTTGCTTCCTAGATACGGTCTAGAGAACAAATGCTACCAACAACTACTGTGTACAAATATTCCTGGATTAAATTCAAAAGCAGCCTTTCCCATTCATCATGGAACCTCCAGGAGGCAAATGCTAATGTTCTTCTATCAGGCACTCAAGAAAACTTCTTTGGAATACGTCCCACAATCCAAACTCTGTGGGTTCAGAAGGGACCTCCTGCTGTCCCAGCCATGGGGATTGGCAAGGTTGACTGCAAGACAGCAGCAGTTTTCAGGGTTTGTTAGTTTGAAGCTGTTTCCTATTTCCACAAGCTTCAAAAAGCATCAGGAAAACATCATGGGCTGAGCAGGAGATCCAGCACTGATCCAGAAGGCACAGAAGTGAGGATTCCCCTTTTCACTCATGTGCAGGTGATGTCAAAGCCAGGCTCTATGGGGTTGGAAGGAGATGATCTTAAGGTCCTTTCTAACAGTACCTATTCTAGAAAGAAACCCCTAGGACCTCAGTTCTGAGACACTCAAGACCTTGGTCCTGGCGCTGAAGGCATCTTTGTAAATCTCCTTCCTGTCCCTCAATAAGTGGAGCTGCTGCAGTACAAATCAGTGGGAAGTCAGTCATGGAAGACCCTGCTCGACTAAAGGCTTTTGCTGCAATTAGAATGAGATATGAAAACACTTCAAATAGAAATAGCAACCCTTTAAAATTGTATCTGTATTTGTTATCCTATCGAAATACATATGGATGAGGAAGATAAAACTCTCTTTTTAAAGACCAGTTTATTAACTGGTCATGAATTTATATAATACACCAGCTCGTGTCCTTTAGTTCATTGCAAATATCATTTTTATCAGCAGCCAGCTGCCTTTACTGACTTTTCTTTCATGATTTATTTTGAGATAAAACAATACATTTTAGAGAAGCTAAATGCGTGAATCTGCTGTTTGACCAGGACAGTGTATTCCGTCTTACAACTTCGGTTTGAAACTTATTTGGGGCCTGAAGTCATTCCTCTTAGCAGCCTTTTATTACTCATTGAACTGCTGTTGCTAGTCCTATAGTTCCTTATGTGGGTTAGGAAGGGCTGCATTCCCCGAAGAGGGTGGTGTTTATCTTGGGATAGCAGAGGCAGGAGACGCTGTCATCCCACAACACAGGGAGCTGCTGGTCTCCAGCTGAGCTGTGTGAAGGGTCCACAAGTGCTCTTGCACCCTCTGCACTAGTGAAGAGGAGGCAGCTGCGTGCATTGAGCCACCTGATGGGGTTGGAATGCTGCATCCTGGTGGGGGGAGAGCGCGGAGTTAATACAGCTCAGATGATGAATGGTAACTAATGAAGCTTCAGCTGCTTGTGATCATCTGTGCAGACCCCAGATAACATCATTCCCAAAGTAGTTTAGGCTCTTTGTTTAGGTTCCTCGGCTGGGGAGGATGGTTTATTAGCTGCATAGTGTGGTGGAGCTGTTCTTGCTACTCATGTAATAACAAGCAGAGGGATTGAAAATCAGAAGGAAAGACAGGCTGTACTTTGGGGTTTTTCTGATTCAGAACCTGCCTATTAGTAGCTGTGAAATCAGAGGAGCTAAATGAGGCTTTTTGGAATGGGACACACGCACCGGCATTAGCTGTGTGCTTGCTTGGAAGAACAGAAATATGGCCTTGTGCATGTGTGGACTGGAAAACAGGAGGTTGGTTTTGGTGTCTGTAGCATCAAGAAACCGGAGGGAATGCAGGGCTGTGACAGCTCTCTGCCTCCCCTGGAGCTGCTGAGTGTTTGCTCTGGCTGCACAAAGACCAGGATCCTCCCCAAGAGGCTGACACGTTATTTGCCTGAGTCAGAGAAGTGAAAGAATGGTACAGAAAGGCAGTGTGGTTAATTCCCTCCCACTGCTTTTGTTCCACAGGAGATCATTAAAGCTGAAAGGTAAGAGAGACGTTGTAACCCTTTCTTCCTTGTGTCCTATAAAGTAATGGCTGTATTTAGAATAACAAATACAGTCACTTTGGGGTTTTAATGAGGCTTTTGAAAATGTACTTAAGGACCTGTCATCTCCCAGGAGTTAATTGTTATTAAAGTTGGTGTTGCTCCTTCTAACGAATTGCAGGAAAGGAACAAAACTTTCCACAGTGAAACAGAAACCAGCAATTCTTCTCTTTCTCAGCTTTAGCTTTCAGCACAGAGCAGTGACTACGTGCTGCAGGTGTGACCCCAGAGAGAGAAGGGGTTTCACCGGAGCGTGGTTTTCATTCTATTCACTGACAGTGATCTAACCGGGTTTGTTTAATAACATTCCTTTTGTTCTGGCAGATAATCATGGGCTGGCCCAGATAGCATCACAAATTTGCTCCTTTCTGATAATGGGATCTTATCAGGGCTTCAGGAGCATATAGTGTTTTACAGGATATGGCTTTAATTAAAATGACAATATGGGACAGCTGAGGTTAGATTCTCCAGTCTGGCATCTCTGTAACATCAGACTGGAAAGGGACAGGGTAATAAATGTCTTTCATCTCCTATGAGAGAGAAGGTAGAGAACTATTTTGCTGACATATTAATCATCTGTTGCCTGGAGTTGCTGCTCTTGAAAGTCCTAAGGTAAGCTGTCTGTGGAGGCATATGGTAACTATAGACTCTGCTGATGGATGTCTAAATGGGCTAAAACTGAGATAGAAGGGTTTACACCTTTCTTTTCAGTCATTAGTGATGGAACCTCGGGTCTTTTGGTGTGGAATACAAGATTGTTGGAGTTCCTGCAAGACTATGGCTGTTTCTTAGTGGGGGTACAATATCTTCCGTTTGGCCTGCATAATAGGCGATTTGATTGGAGGCTGGGCATGACATCACTAAAGGAATGAGCGTTGTAAGCAGCATTTCTAAGGTAGTGGGCTGGTTTGGAAAACACAGGCAATATCTTCTACTCACAGTTCATCAACCTGGGAATTCAGAAATTAACAAGGACTAACTTTGCCTGGCTCTGAAAAAGCAAACGGGGAGACAGGCACATCCTGTGTGTTATCCAGCACATGCTGCACAAGGAAATGTGTAACTTGACTAGTTCTTCAGTGCCTTCCATCAGATGTGCGCTGATATTGAGTGCTTAGGTAGATGAGAAGCTTTTGACAGCTCTGAAGGCACTCTTGTACGCCCCATGTGGAGTCAAAGCTCCAAGTTGTTTAAAGTTCACATCTCAGAATTCACAAATCAATAGTAACCCCCAGCCAGGCAAAGGCTCCTTATCTTTGTGCTAGTTAATCCTTGCTTCTAGAGGCATCGGGCAGGGGATAGTGAGTCCTGCCTTATCTGCAGCAAAAGGCTGGCTATCAAAGCGTTTGACGCATGAAGAGCCTCACCTCTAACCATCAGCTGTCTCAGGAACTCTGCAGTCCTTGTTCCTGCTCTCCAGTTCAGTGTCATATTGACAGCAGTCTCATCCTCTCCATCAGAGATCAAACAGGAGACCGTGTTGTACTGGTCTGGTGGTTACAGAACTTACTGAGATAGCGATTATGTTGGTGGCTGATGAAAGAGGAAAATTCTCCTCAATTCTCCCCATAATCATTGGATTACAGATTCATTGTAACCCCATCATTCTGATGAGCAAGGGGAGAGTCAGTGTGCTTGAGCAGGACTGGGATGTTAAACCTAATTTGACAAGCTGCTAACTAGGTGCCCTCATCTCCTACTTCTGGAAGTTTTCAGTCCTTGAAGGTGCAACTGTGACACAGCAACACATCAAAGCGGGCATCTACCTCTACGCAGGTTGGCACCCTGAAGGTTTTCAAGTACTAAGCATCTTCTAAATTGGCATTTCATTCTCTTACCACCCGAATGCAGTCAAGGCTGCTCATGAGATGTCCTAAATAAGGAGAGATGATGATGCATGAAAAGGCACCATAAATCAGCTGACTTAAGGGAAAACAGTTACTTTGAATCAGCAAGGCTGAAGTTAATATTTTTGAATCATGAATTGCCTCATAGAAACATAGAATGGAGTGAAAAGAAGGATTTTTTTCTTCTTAACCTGTGCTTTTTTGTGCTTTGTTTTACTCCTGTGTATGTATTTTGTAGCTGTTAAAAGCTAAATGAAAGTGCTTTATATCCTGTGATTATTGGCTTTGAAATCAAAGGTTAAAGAAAGAAAATCACTCAATGTAGTTCTTTTCCTGAATTTATTAGGTTTATTTCCCTGCTGAATATCATGTTCTAAAAGCTTGATGTGATGTTCTGCCTTGGTGAGAGAATGTAATACACAGTAATTTGATAGGGTTTAATTTTTCTTCATATCAAGGTCATGTCACTTGTAGTGCAGGTTTCATTACACAGCACTGGAACAATTGGGTTTATGTCTTAGTCTGCAAAACTCCTGGATGAATTAAAATACACGTGTGTGTGTTGAACTGCATGTGAAACACAAACTTCCTGTTAAAGCCCATCTGTGTTCTGATCCAGAGAGCAGAAATAGTGCTATGACCTGAACCACTGGAGACTTTCTGTTACTGTAGGAACTTTATTGCAAGTCACAGCTTTCTTCTATGGAAGTGCATTCTCCTGGTAGTACTTGGCTAGAGTCACATTCCCAGCTTAAAATACAGGATCTGGCTTGGAAATGTGACATCTCTTTTTATCTTAGTTCATTACAACTACCCTTTAAATAATCAGTAATTACTCTCCTTTAACCTCTAGTTCTAACTTCAGGCAGCAGTTATTTAATATTATTTCATCTTAAGCATTGGGGAATGTTAAAAATCTGTATTTCAAAGCAATTTACTTTGAAGTTTTTATCATATGAGGTGTGCTTCTAATAACTTAATAATTATTGTTACCTGGCCTGTCTTCTGCCTCCCTTCCTCACAAATCTTCTTTATAGAATGAGCAAGGAATTGTCTACTTCAGCTGCTTGTGCATGGAGGCATAAAGAAGACTCGGAGCATGAAGTGTGGCTGGAGGCTGTTAAGCACTGTAGTTCTAAAAGTGATGTGCTTCCTTATGTGCTGGGCTTTGGTGTCTTAGGTCTTTTGCAGTAAAAAAATCATGTGAATTGGTATGATCTAATGATCCCATTCTCTGGACTTACAGTAGTCCCAGTCAGATTCTCCAAGCAAAAGTTAGAGCCTTGTTTGATAGGAGAGAAGTGAAGAATATGTAACAGAGCCTCAAAAATGAGAGGGGAGATGTAACCAGGAGGAGGGAATTGACTTGCCCTGAAGGCTTCGTCCAGGTTAGTGGTTTCCTGCAGCCTGAACTACTGTCCTAGTGCTCCTTCTCCCTTTAATGTGTTATACCAAGGAGTACAAAACATACACCAGTGATGACCTTGGATAACTTAGATATGAATTCTGAGGGAGTGTTTGACCTTGAAGCATTCAGCAGCAGAGCTTACATTTTCTTTCGTCCACAATAGCAGTGCAATTTTCAGTGTCATAATTGTCTTTGTTACCTGTTTGGGAGTTGTAATCACTTGTAAAGAAATAGTTCTGTAGGCTCTGTTGCCTGCTATGAAAGTGAAAGCATTGTGTGTGATGAAATGCATTCAATTCTGCAAATGTCTTTTGCAATGACAAATGCCTCAACTATGGGAGAAAAGGATCCACATCAAAGGTGAGTTTTATGCAGTGATGATTAGTTCCTGTGGAAGGGGAAACTGCACCCAAGTAAAACATAAAATGGGCACGCTTTGAATACTACAGGTATATTGTAAGTAAAATATTTCCTCCTTTATCTGCCAACACCTGGATATGGGGATGTACTTTCACTCACTAAAGCAGATGTACTTGTAAATCCTTAAGACACCTTCCAGATTAGAAGGAATTTCTCTATTTTTAGTAAGTTTTCCTGGTAAAACACCACCACATGAAGTCGGGTCTTGATAAGTAAAGCAAAAAGTGCCTGTATTCCAGTTCTTTCTTTCCAGGGCTCAGCAAGTTTTCCCTAAAGCCAGAGAAAATTGTGCTTCATCTTTCACAGAGGCCACTTCCACTGAGCTACTGACTTCACAGTCTCTTGTGTGATTACTTATGACAGAGTTCATTGTATTTTGTTTGAGAACATAATTAAGCCTTTAGTGCATGACAGTCGGGTGGCTAGTCAATGTTACAGTGCTTACTGCTTCCCTCTGCTGCATAGAGCTAGAACTGCTTGCCTGTCGTCCAGGAATCGTCTCTTGCAGAGGCGCCGCTGGTCAAGGGGAGATCACAGGCACGGCTTTGAGGGTGTACCTGTGGAGTGCAGTGATGCAGTTCAGTCCAAGCTGGTGAAACTCTCATGGCTGTCTCTTAAAGTGCTTTGTTGCCTTTTGATTCCACTGCCACTGGGAAGTTGCCAGGAAAGATCCTGCGGACACTGGTTGCTCCAGCCGAGGGTCTGACTCGGCTGATGCAGTGGTTCACGTCCCTCAGCGTGCTTGTTGACAGCATTCTGATGTAGCCCAGTCTCTAATTGCAAACCACTTGCAGAAAGGTCTACTAAACTCTATGCTGCCAACTCCTTTTATCAATTCCCACTGTATCGTGTCTTTCAAACCTCAGAGAAGCATTTGTACAGCCAGTTCTTGACAGGTGGAACAGGTTAATTCATCTGAAAAAGCAGCAGTGTTTTGGCTGATGGCAAAGGGCTCGTTGAAATGCTGAACAAACAGGCTCTTCTCTCCACCCCTACCGGGAGGTTGGTTTTCTGACGCTGCAAAGCATGCTAAACATGGTGCTAGTTGTTATCCATCACAGGTATAAAGCAGTATCATTAATGAACTGACTTCTGAGATCAAATGGGGTGCTAAGGCTGTTGCAGGGTGGGGAGAAAAACATGGTTATGGCTAGCTTAAGAGTGATATCATAAATGTGGTGGGGTTTGAGGCAGAGGGCATCATCCCATTACGTGAACAATATTAACCATGTATTTTTTCCACTTGCTGCAGAATTTACTGTGTC